GACACTAAATTAACATTTATTTTTAGGCAAACTCGAACTCACCAAGTGAGAGATCTATCATCTTATTTATTGTGCGAAAAACGCCTTGCTTGTTCTTCTCAAGAGTATTTGGGTTCGTCCTTACCCATTCCCTCTCTCTTTACATTTCTCGATACGAAAGGTTGGAAATGGCTGCACTGACGTATCAAAAATTTGGGAGAATATCTTTCACTTAGCTGGTCTTCTTTCATCAAGTCCATCATCTTTCCTCAAAGTCGCAGCAATAGAGTGTCAAAGAAGAAAAATAATCAAAATATTATGTACAGTGATTGTTGGCATGATATCCCTATAGATATCATGGAGATGATCGTCATAGAACGATTTACTCTAACTGATCGCATCCGCATGGGCAGTGTTTACACAATGTGGAGAGTTCTTGTTCTAAGCGAACACATTCAGAGGACTTGTATTGAATTTCCCTGGCTAATGCTTCCTCAAACTCAGATTGGAAAACAAGTAAGTTTCTGTGACTTTTCTAATGAAACAGTTCATAACTTGAAGCTTTCAAAGTTAGATCATGGAGGGTGGTGCAGTTGATCATCACCATCACCATCACCACCACCGGATGCAATAAATTTGACCCAAAACTTTTTCTGTTGAATCCAATTTCTGGGGCCAACTTCGACTTCCTTCCCTAACAACTATTCCACTTTTTGGAGAAAAAAAGGAGGAATATTTGAATAATTGAGAAACAATGGTCGGAACTTTCGTCACCAGGATTGAACTATTTTCTTCTTCTTCTACCGATGATGCTACAGAAGAATGTGTAGTTGCTGCAACCTTTCGTGACGAAGACGAAAGATGGAAAAACATGAACCACTTGTAGTTTGTGAATCTAGTGTGTTCTACCTCGAAAAAAGAAATTGAACGTCCCTCCCCATTATTAAGCTTACTTCCAAAACAGGCTAAAATCTGTGGGGGTATAGGAAAATACTAGAAAGTGGAACATTTAAAGACAAAAAGGGTAAAAAGGGTATGGCAACAACCTTAATTATATTTAGTACATAAAGAACTGGGCATGACCTTGTCAATTGCAAGGGTAAAATTTCAAAAAGGGATATACTATCAAAGAAAAGAACAAATATCTAGCTTTAGTTGTTAGGGATATAATCCCTCGAACTGTCCTATACTATCACTTAGGATACTGACCACCATTAAACTGACTAATAAACAAAAATGTATAAAAAATCTACGAAATAAACTAAATTTACAATAAAGTCCTCTAAAATTAAACATTGTCTCAACTTAATTATAACCTAGATCGATCGTTCACAAAATATTAGCAATTATTAGTCAACTGATTTCACCAAACATACCCAAAAAAAAATGTGAAACATTCTAGCTAACAATATAGCCAAACAAAGACGAGCAATATAGTAGTATAACAACGTATTATAAATATAGTTTTGACGCATTTAAAGGTATCTCAAATATTCCAAACTTGATTCAATCAAAAAACATACACAATAAAAAATGCCACTCACTGTGGTCCCCTCTCAGTCCCGAAGCAGGAAGGCAGATGGCCTCCTCTCAATTGTCGGATCAGGATCACAACCATACACTTCTATTAAAAAAAAAGGGGGAAACCTACATGATGTCAAATAAGCTCTAAAAGTCATGAATTCTCTACTTTCTAAAAACTACATCTCTCTTGCGAAAATTTCTTGAAATGCTTTTGTACAATCATATAATTTTTTCAATAACTTGAGAAAAATCACATGTTAGTAAGTTCAATGCAATACTCACAGATATCCAAAAGTTCGACATAATAAAATGAACTGTGCCTTTTTTCCTACTTTTCTTACCCTAGAATCTAGGCTATAGATAAATGCACATAATGGAATAGACTCGTATAAGAGAAGTAAAACAGTTCAAGAGATACCTGTGCAATTTCATCAGTACCTCGGCGTTTCAAGAGCTAGCAATGTTTCTTTGAGTGAATACAAGAAGACTCAAAAAATCCTCCCATAACTCCAATGTTTTACTCCAACAAATGGCCACAGGTGGTAGAAAATCACCAATGGCAGCACCACCCAGCCCTAGAATTACCACAACCTACACACTGATAAACAAATTAATTTAACTACTAAAAAGATGTATCCATATCATTACCCATTTTAGTTATGCGCCGCCACCATATCATAGATTGTGATCTTAACTGGTCATGGTCCAAAATGTTGGGAAGAAATGAAAAGCCATTGCGAAACAATCCACAATAAAAGCATACTAAGTTACATATTGAAGGTCGAATCCAATATAATAGATGAAGTAGCACTATATTAACACTATAAAATCAGTATGTAACATTATATTAAAGCAGTAGCACTATGTTAACATTATATAAAAGCAGTCACAATAGCACTATGGATTTAGTTACACGTTAAAGGTAGGTATTATATCAAGCCCAACAGTCCGTCAAATACATTAATGATCGAGTTCACAAATATCAAAACAACCAATAAAGAGAATATAATATAGAGAGATTGAGTTCACAGTAGCACCTGAAAAAGGTACACGAGAAGTACAAAGGATCACAAAGCTACACAGAAACAGTTAGCATTGTTGCGATGGAGGCTAGAATCACATATAAATGTATGTTAGAAAAGGATATCCATGTTGAAGAAACAAAGATATCCATGGTGCATAGATGAAGTCAACAATAAAAACAAAACAATAAAATCAATTTAAAGCATACATGAAGAACTTAGTTTCGATGACCATAAATGAAGTCAACAATACTGGATTTTACAAACACAACTTGGACCTAGGTCAATTCAAAATCCGAAAATAACTAAATCGGATAAACCAATCTTAAGATTAGCCAACACAAATATCCACTTGATTCATTTTATCATGCAAAAGATATTAAAAAACATAAAAAAAATGAGCCCACTGTCCATAAGCAAAGGGCTGAAGGAACTTTTTGAAACAAAAAAAAAAAATATTGGTTTGACAATTTATCAAACAGGTGATACACAGGACCTAGGAAGAACAGGAAGGGGCTGTCGAGTGGGGTTATGATTGTGGAGAGAGAGTGAGAAAAGGAAATGATTGAGAGAGAAGAGATGCGTGACAAAGAGAAAGGAGATGCGTGAGAGAGAAAGGGGAGATGATTGAGGATACCTAAAATAGGTTGTGGTGGGGCAGCTACTGGCTGTCATTGGCAATGAATGTGCAATGACATAGAGAGAGAGGGATAAGGGCGGTTGTCACTGGCGGTAAACTGAGAGAACAAATGCGTCACAATTGGGCATTGGGCAGTGGCACAATAGGGAAGAAGTTAGATAGGAAATAGAGTTAGGAGGAAATGATCATAAGCGCATAGAAAGAGGGAGAGATGGACAGAGAGAAGATGCGTGAGAGAGAGAGGAGATGATTGACAAGGCTACCTGAAATTGGCAGTCGCTGGCTGTCGTCGGTAGTGGATATGCAGCAGTATAGAGAGAGAAGAAAAAGGGACGGTTGTCGTTGACGGTGAACCGAGAGAAGAGATGCGTCATTGCTAGAGATTGGGCAGCGGCGCAATAGGGAAGAAGGTAGAGAGAAAATATAGCTATGGGGGGATGAGCATGAGTGCATATATAGAGAGATGAACGGAGAGGAGATACATGAGAAAGAGGGGATGATTGAGAAGGATACTTGGAATAGGCAGCGGCTAGGTAGCTGCTCGCTTTCATTGGCAGTGGATGTGCAGCGGCACAGAGAGAGAAGAGATAAGGGGCGGTTATCACTAGAGGTAAACTGAGAGAAGAGATGCGTCACTGCTTGTTGTTGAAGGCTTAACTATTAGGGATTGGGCAGTGATGCAATAGTGAAGAAGGTAGAGAGAAAATAACAATAGGGGGAGATGATCGTGGGTGCATTGAGAAAGTGAACATGAGTAAGGGAGAGAGAATTTTAGGGCACAACCATAGGTCATAGTTTGGAGAGCATATTTAGGAAAGAGAAGGAGACGATCTGAGAAAGACATGTGAGATAGAAATTGAGTGTAAGAAAGCTCGATTAAGAAAGGAGATAAAAGGGGAGACGAGGAATAGATTTTAGTGGAGCCTTGGGGAGTGATTGAAGACCTGACTAAGGGTGACAAAATGAAAAGTTTAGGCGGGAAAAAATATTTCTAGACTCATTCTGGCTCATTAGATTAGTAATTTTGAAATGATTATGTTGGGGTAACGTAGCCCGTCAAATGACCCTTTATTTTATCTTAAAACAATCTGCTCCGTTTTTTGTCTTTTGATTCAAAAACAGCTCTATTTTATTATATAGATTAGTAGTAACGAAAAGTATTTACTACTCAACACTGGGGTTGGCCACATATATTTTTTGGGGCACCACTTTGCCATGTATCATGTGATATCCAAGGATGAAAATTCTATGTTAAGATAAATAAACAACTCCATAAAAAATGAAATGCGCTACAAACAAGTATTTATTCTTTACTATAAAGCAAATCTTGATCAACTAAATAGAGACTTGTTACCTCAGGTGGTGCGAAGCAAAGCATGCCGAAGCAATAATAGTACCTCTTAGGATCGGACACCTGACAAACATGAGACCTTTCCGGCTGATAAGTTTTGATAACAGCCCTTGATCTCCTTCCTCTCCGGTCAAATTCAATCTTCAGTCTCCACAAGCTTACAGAAATGACTGCAACGTACATAGCATGAAGAGATAGAAGGAAATAATTCAACCAAACAGTATTAGAGAAACTTTGCCACATATACAGAAGTTACACCATAAATGCAAAATGTTCCCACCAGGAGTTGTTGTTTCTGACTGTATTTGCATTACCGAATGCTTCTAGAACCAGATTTGACTGCAAAACAAATGAAAATAAGGCCAAAACACATATTGTACACAATTAAAGAACTAAATTATGTGGTGAAAAATCTAAAATCTAGCCTCAGAATGAATCAGTCCCTCGTCTAAGCTTGTTGGACAGGCTGAAATGCAAGGTTTACCTCCCAGGACTTGCTGCTCGACAGTCCTCCCCTCAGATTCAGCTCTGCCTCCCAAGTAAGCAAGATACTGCATGAGCAATTTTGTTTCAAAATGATATTGTTGCAAGTGGTCCCATTAGTAGTTAGGCAATATTTTTCAAACCATTGTGAAAGACTCAGGTTTCTATCAGTCTGTCTTTCCTGTGATGTAGGAAAATAGCTCCAGACTCTTTGGGCCTTACTACAATCTCTTAAAATGTGAATGGTTGTCTCAACAAAGTTTTTACACCTATTGCACATAAGATCATCTGTCATACCTCTGTCGGCTCTAAGTTTATTTGAGGGGATTCTATCATGGAGGACAAGCCAAAGAAAAAACTTTAACTCCTGAGGAATTTCCATTTCCCAAATCTGTTTCCATCTCTTATCAACGACAGTGAAAGAAGTGTTATCAGTAAGGAGATTATAATAGTTTTTGGATGAAAACTTACCATTGGCTGCCTTACCCAAGGATATAGAATCAAGTTGCTGGCTGAATTGTGGCAGTGGAATGAACAAAATCTCTTGAACAATATTAGGAGGAAGAATCATACCTGTGGATTGCAGATTCCAGGATCCATCTGTGCCAATGAAGTTAGCCACCTTAACCTCTGTATCAATATTCGTTTGGGGATTCAGTTGCTGCAGAAGTGGTTTTCCACCAACCCACCAAGCTTTCCAGAAGTTAATGTTTTGTCCATCACCCACAATCCATTTTATACCTGCTTATAACGGGTTACAAATTTTCAAAATAGCATTCCATATGGGAGATGCATTGTTCTTTTTTTTCCAAGGTTCAGTGTTCATAGCAATGTATTTACTTTTCATAATCTCAACCCATAAGGATTTATTATTATTAGCTCTAAGTTCCCAACCTAGTTTCCCTAGGAGTGCTGCATTATTATCTCTGTTCTTCCTTAATCCTAGACCCCCACTAGCTTTGGGTGAACACACTTTGTCCCAGTTTAAGTAGTGAATTTTCCTCCTCTCTTCTGTGTCCCCCCATAGAAAATTTCTATTCAGTCTATCAATTTGATCACAAATGGACTGGGGAACCCATTGAGTTTGCATAGCATAGTTAGGGATAGTAGCAGTGACAGCCTGAATCAGGGTTGCCCTACCTGCTATGGTCAAGTTGTTAGCTTTCCATCCAGAAAACCTTATCTGAATTTTTTCAATAATGTCTTTAAAATGTTCTTTGGATTCTTTTTTTTTATGTAAAACTGGTATTCCTAGGTACTTACCTAGATCCCCAATTAAAGGGAAGCCAAGGATCCTACCAACTTTAGATGCTCTTCCTCTTCTTACATTTGGGGAAACATAGACTTTAGATGCTCATCTTAAGCCCAGATATCATACAAAACTCATCAAGAACTTTCCTTAACATATGACAGTCTTTATCCTGGGCTCTTGAAAATAGAATAATGTCATCAGCAAAGATAAGGTGTGATATCACAGGACCTCATCTTTCTGCTTTAAGTCCGTTCCAGTTCTTCAGCTGCACTTGTTCATTTATCATATGACTTAGCCTTTCCATGCAAAGAACAAACAAATAAGGGGAAAGAGGGTCCCCTTGTCGAAGACCTCTTTTGGGAACAATTGGCTCTAAGGAGGAGCCATTCCATAAAATAGACAGCTCAGTCTTTGTTACACAGTTCATAATGAGATCAATCCAGCTCCTAGGAAAGTTGAAATGAGTAAGGGTTCGTTGTAGAAAAGACCAACTGACTCTATCATAAACTTTTTCAAGATCAATTTTAAGAATCATGCTTCCCACTTTACCTTTCTTCTTTCTTAAACAATGTGCAATTTCCTGTGTAATGATTATGTTGTCAATCATCTGCTACCTGGGATAAAGCTGCTTTAATAAGGACCAACCGGCTTATCCAGCTTGGGTCTCAGCCTGGTTACTAAAAGTTTAGTCACAATCTTGTAGCTGACATTGCACAGACTAATGGGTCTAAACTGAGAAATTAACATTGGACTCTCAATCTTGGGGATAAGAGCAATCCAGGTTTTGTTCAATTGTTCTGGGCATCTGTTCTGGAAAATGTCTGTTACATTCTCACAAACATTAGGACCCACAATGCTCCTCACAAATTGATGAAGTAGCTGAAGGTTTTGTTCAAGTGTGATCTGAAGGTCGGATCCAATATAATAGACGAAGTAGCACTATCTTAACACTATAAAATCAGTATGTAACATTATATAAAAGCAGTAGCACTTTGTTAACATCATATAAAATCAATAGCACTATGTTAACATTATATAAAAGCAGTCACAATAGCACTATGGATTTAGTTACACGTTAAAGGTAGGTATTATATCAAGCCCAACAGTCTGTCAAATACATTAATGATTGAGTTCACAAATATCAAAACAATCAATAAAGAGAATATAATATAGAGAGATTGAGTTCACAGTAGCACCTGAAAAAGGTACACGAGGACAAAGGACCACAAAGCTGCACAGAAACAGTTAGCATTGTTGCAATGAAGGCTAGAATCACATATAAATGTATGTTAGAAAAGGATATCCATGGTGCATAGATGAAGTCAACAATAAAAACAAAACAATAAAATCAATTTAAAGCATACATGAAGAACTTAGTTTCGATGACCATAATGAAGTCAACAATACCGGATTTTGCAAACACAACTTGGACCCAAGTCAATTCTAAATCTGAAAAACTAAATCGGATAAACTAATCTTAAGATCAGCCAACACAAATATCCACTTGGTTCATTTTATCATGCAAAAGATATTAAAAGCATAAAAAATGAGCCCACCGTCCATAAGCAAAGGGCTGAAGGAACTTTTTGAAACAAAAAAAAATATCGGTTTGACAATTTATCGAACAGGTGATACACAGGACCTAGGAAGAACAGGAAGGGGTTGTCGAGTGGGGTTATGATTGTGAAGAGAGAGTGAGAAAATGAGATGATTAAGGGAGAAGAGATGCGTGACAAAGAGAAAGGAGATGCGTGAGAGAGAAATGAGAAATGATTGAGAAGGATACCTAAAATAGCATGTGGCTGGGCAGCTACTGGCTGTCGTTGGCAATGAATGTGCAACGGCACAAAAAGAGAGGGATAATGGGCGGTTGTCGCTGGCGGTGAACTGAGAGAACAGACGCGTCACTGCTGGGCATTGGGCAGTAGCACAATAGGGAAGAAGGTAGAGAGGAAATAGAGTTAGGGGGAGATGATCATAAGCACATAGAGAGAGGGAGAGTGGCCAAAGAGGAGATGCGTGAGAGAGAGGAGATAATTGAGAAGGATACCTGAAATAGGCAGTGGCTAGGCAACTACAAGCTGCCATTGGCACTATATGCAGCAGTGCAAAGAAAGAAGAATAAGGGGCGGTTGTCGCTGACAGTGAACCGAGAGAAGAGATGCGTCACTACTGGGGGTTGGGGAGCGGCGTAATAGGGAAGAAGGTAGTGAGAAAATAGAGCTATGGGGAGATGAGCATGAGCGCATAGATAGAGAGATGAACAGAGAGTAGATACATGAGAAAGAGAGAGAAAGAGGAGATAATTGAGAAGGACACCCAAAATAAGTAGTGACTAGGTAGCTGCTCGCTTTCATTGGCAGCGGATGTGCAGCGGCACAGAGAGAGAGGAATAAGGAGCGGTTATCACTAGAGGTAAACTAAGAGAAGAGATGCGTCACTGCTTGTTGTTGAAGGCTTAACTACCGGGGATTGGGCAGTAGCGCAACAGTGAAGAAGGTAGAGAGAAATAGCGATAGGGGGAGATGATCGTGGGCGCATAGAGAAAGTGAACGTGAGAAATGGAGAGAGAATTTTAGGGCACAACCATCGGTCATAGTTTGAAGAGCATATTTAGGGAAGAGAGGGAGATGATTTGAGAGAGACATGCGAGATAAAAATTGAGTGTAAGAAAAGAGATAAAGGGGAGACACAGAATAGATTTTGGTGGAGCCTTGGTGACAAAATGGAGAGTTTAGGCGGGAAAAAATATTTCTAGACTCATTCTGGCTCATTAGATTAGTAATTTTGAGATGGTCTAAACCACTTTGTATGTTGGGGTAACGTAGCCTGTCAATAGCCCGTCAAATGACCCTTTATTTTATCTTGAAATGATCTGCTCCACTTTTTGTCTTTTGATTCAAAAACAGCTCTATTTTATTATATAGAGTAGTAGTAACGAAAAGCATTTATTGCTCAACACTGGGGTTGGCTACACATATTTTTTGGGGCACCACTTTGCCGTGTATCATGTGATATCCAGTGATGAAAATTTTATGTTAAGATAAAAAAAACAACTCCCTAAAAAATGAAATGCGCTACAAACAAGTATTTATTCTTTACTATAAAGCAAATCTTGGTCAACTAAATAGAGACTTGTTACCTCAGGTGGTGCGGAGCAAAGCATGCCAAAGCAATTATAGTACCTCCTAGGATCGGACACTTGACAAACACAAGACCTTTCCGACTGATAAGTTCTGATAACAGCTCCTGAACTCCTTTCTCTCCGGTCAAATTCAATCTCCACAAGCTTACCGAAATGACTGCAACGTACATAACATGAAGAGATAGAAGGAAACAATTCAACCAACTAGTATTAGAGAAACTTTGAAACATATACAGAAGTTACACCGTAAATGCAAATGTTCCCGCCAAGCGTTGTTGCTTCTGACTGTATTTGCATTACCGAATGCTTCTAGAACCGGATTTGACTGCAAAACAAATGAAAATAAGGCCAAAACACATATTGTACACAATTAAAGAACTAAATTATGTGGTGAAAGATCTAAAATCTGGCCTCAGAATGAATCAGTCCCTCGTCTAAGCTTGTTGGACAGGCTGAAATGCAAGGCATACCTCCAGGACTTGCTGTGCGACAATCCTCCCCTCAGATGCAGCTCTGCCTCCCAAGTAAGCAAGATACTGCATGAGCAATTTTGTGCTTTCCGTTTCACCCACTTCACTCTCGCCACTAAGCATATTGACTAACTGATTCCTTAATTGATCATAACTCTACATCCACAGAAGTGGCATTAATCATCGTAATGCAAAAGGGAAGACAATGAAATTATAAACTCATGATCATGACAACATACCTATATGCAACATCCGCAAAAGCAAAAGGGTGGGACAAGGGGCTCAGCTCACCAAAGGCTGCCCCTTTGTACTACGCCATCATATGCCTACCATATAAATCAAGCAGTTTTCTGAAAGGATTCACAACAATTAATATGTTTCTTGTGTAAGTCTAGAAACAATATCAAGTTGATTAGCTCCAACACATTTTATTTAAATAGGAAAATGTTGAAACAGATGCTTCCAAAATCAAATGAAGTGTGGAAAATACTTACATATATTTCATTGACATCATATCTCGAATTTAAATTATGCAGAACTCCTGGCTTATGAAAATAAGCCAGCTTTGTCCTATCATCCACTCCACTTGGTGGTGCTTCACCATCTTCTGGATAAATACAAAAAGTGTTAACAACAACCTGTAATAAAAATTTAACAAAAGAAAGAAAGGATCAAATTCAGTGAATCTTTCATCTCTACATATTTGTTTCTTAACCAACAAAAATACCTAGAATAATTTGATGGAAATAATTTGACAAAAAGTTGTTGGACGAATTTCCACTTGTCAAAATTCCCTACAAAGCATATAAAATAACAGAAAAAATGAATTAAAAGTTGATATTCAGCATTTCAATAGTTGCAATCATTTGAAGTAGATTCACGAATTTCTCTTGAAACACTCAAATCCATCTATATCCATCACCCCAATTAAGTATTTTGAGTCTGGGTCTTGACCAATTGAACTATGGATCTTATCCACAAGCCTACAACATCGATATATCAATACAAAGGCATAAGCAAAAACTACATCTAGATATTCCAAAAAATTTCGGGGTACAAAACTTAAAATAGGAATAAAATTCCTCCAATGACAAGTAGTGGTTACCAATCAAGCAAACATGAGTACACAATTTGCCAAAGCATCTCTACTGGCAACTGCAGATTCTGGATCAAGCCATTTGGTAATGGTTTCATCATGAGTTACAATTATACGTTTGAAGAGGGAATCCTCTAAAGACTTTATGTCACACCTAAACAATACCAAACAATTCAAAGGTTGCATTTGGTTGAAATTGCATTTTGTTCTCCCGTAGTGAAAATTAAGTCAAGATACTTGAAAATTTATTTACTTCATTTGTGTGTGCCAGTCACCCTGTGCCAATGAAATTGATTATTTACGCAAACAGCTCCACAACAGTTCTAAAATGAAACAAAAATTTTTCATTTGGCCACACATGAGTCGATTGTCTTTTCCTTCGCAAATTTGATATTTCCAAGATGGAGAATCGCAACCACAATTCGAAAAAACACATCCAGAGGAAGGAAGAAAATCAACAAGAATGAATTAAAGGATAGATTTTAAAGTGGAAAAATCATATTTCTTTCCCATATTAACCACAACTCCAAGCAAAAACCTTTCCTCAGTACTAATTCCAACAACATCCATTGGCCCCCTTGTAGCAAAATATTCTTTAGAATCATCAATGTCATCTAACTCGTAGCAATTTAATTATTTCAAATCATGAAACGTTATAGGATTTGCTTCACTTTTGTACTTTTGAAGATCCTGGTAGCATGGAAAAATAATATAAGATTTGACTGAAATTGAAATGATATCCAACACAATGATCAAAATTGAACTTCAATTCCCCTTTTCACACATGCAAGCCTACCACACCTTTGGAACCCAACCAACAGGTTAACTTGAATGATGGAATAATTACTGCAAGGAACTTAATTTTAGAGGAATCGATGGTGTTTTCTTAAGAAATTGAACAAAAAAATAACCACCGTTAAACAGACTAATAAATAAAAATGTATAAAAATCTATGAAATAAACTAAATTTACAATAAACTCCTCTAAAATTAAACTTGTGTCTCAATTTAATTACAACCTAGATTGATATTCCACAAATTATTAACAATTATTAGTCAACAAATTTCACAACAAACATATCCAACAAAAATGTGAAACATTCTAGCTAAAAGTATGGCCAACA